CAAAAAATCCCGTCCATTACCAGCAGGTGCAAATTACAGTGCACCGAGAGAAATAAGGGCAACGGTATAGAGAAGGACCCCACTTAGCAGTCAGCAGACTGCGGATCGTGTCATATGGGGTTTTATCTTGGCATGCATTTGCGGGCTGTTGCAGAAATTACACTGCGGACAACGATTACTTCCCACGACCACACACCTTAACTCAAAATCCATTATTTTGTGAAACTTACTTTCTGTTTATTGTTTAATTACTAATCTCACTTCCGTTGTCGTACAACAGCGTAGGACAAGACTTGCGACATAAATCCAGGCAATTTTTGTGTTTTCTCTCATTTTGTCAGCTTACTGTCTAGCTTGCTGCTCCACCCATAAAACTCCTTTACCATAAATCTGGTATGGCACGATACACAGTCTACTGACAGTTAAGTGGGGCCCTTCTCTATACCGTTGCCGAAATAAGTCTGGCATACCTCCTCCCCTAAACGACTGCTTATAGGAGGTTCAGATGAAATTTGCATGTTTTACCATTTCTGTGTGGCTTTCGAAAACAAACACTGAAGAGACTGCCAGCATGATATTACCCACAAAGACAAGGGAGGCTTGAATGGCCATTTCTGGCTTAGCAGCTGTTATCAGCCAGTCATACCTAATCCCAAAGGGTGGAACACCTGGGGCTCGATCCTGCGACCTGTTGGCTAGAAGTTCAACGCTTCTAACCACTGAGCCACCGGCTCGTTGTCCTGTCCGTTGCGGTCGGGAATGTGCAATGGAAGAGGACGAGCCCGTGGTTCAGTGGTTAGACGCTTTGGACTTCTAACCAACAGGTCGTACGATCGAGCACCAGGTATTCCACACTTCGGAATTGGGTATGACTGGCTGACGACGGCTAATAGGCCAGAAATGACCACTCCAGTCTCCCTCGTCTTTGTCGGTAATAACATACTGCCTATATCATGCGCCGCTGTGTGGCTGCTGGTTGGGCTCGAGAGAGCCCGTAAGTCTCAACGGAACGAGTGAGTTCCGTAACATGATCGGTGAGCGCCCCTCTATCACTGAAAGTACTATTGCTGCAGTTGGTAAGACGAGTGAACGGTTACCTGAACACTCATACCGTTGAAGAGCGAGTAGGGACTTCCGTAGTCCCCCAATCAGTAAACTGGAAGGTCCCACTAAAATTTTCGGGGATGCGACTTCTTCTGAAAGCTTTCCAAATGGTTAAAGGCTGACTGCAAACGGTATGAAATGCGTCAATTGAGTCTAATGTTGCAGAGGGCTTTTACTAACAGAACAGAAAGTTGGAGGTGACCACGATAGGATTTACATTGGTCTTCAGTAAGAAGCAGGGAAGCAAACAATGCATAGGATTACTGACGTTGTCGTCACCATAACTACTACTACTACTACTACTACTACTACTGCTACTACTACTACTACTACTACTACTACTACTACTACTACTACTACTACTACTACTACTACTACTACTACTACTACTACTACTACTACTACTACTACTACTACTACTACTACTACTACTACTACTACTACTACTACTACTACTACCACTACTACTACTACTATTGCTGATGTTATGACCACGACTACCACGATTACCGGACAATGTACATTAGCGGCTGGCCTCGAAATGTAGCTATCAGCATTAAATGCACAGTTTAAAACTTCAAGCTAATCAGACGGGAAATGAAGGCATAAAGCCCCCCAATGCTAAGACTGGCACAGCTACATCATTCAGCCGAGGTTAACGCATAGAAATATTAAAATTACAAGAACTCTGGCAATTAGTACAACCCTTGTCCAATGTCTCAGCCTAGTTTGGTTGTCAAATTCTGTTTCTCAAAAGCTGAACTCTAACAACGGACTAAATTTCACGTGAGTGGGTAGGTTGGGCCGAATTTCCACTTACTCGCCGATTATGTCAACGACTGAACACAATGGAGTGATAAAAGTGCCACCGAGGTCCTATTTCTTGGGTTGTAACACTTGATCAAAGCAGAATTTTATGCGGATGCGAGGTCCCTCTGATGGAAAAAAGGGAAGCAGTAAATGGCAAACATGACTGTGCACTGATAAAACTACCTGGTCGATGGCGAATTTCAGGTTCATTCGTGTCAGTTGGTCTGTAATTGCCAGTGTGATCTGTAAAGCTGTAACCCTCACCGTCACTGGAGGGGGAAGGATGTGGACAATTGTTGAAGAGGTCGAGAACCTCCTGGAGATTAAAAAACAATGAAAGAATGTTACTAACACTGCAAAAGTAACAATTACTTTACAATATAAAAGCAGCGTCGGAATTAATGGGTGTGACCCAACTGCCCGAGTACTTCTCTAAGACCACAGTGGGTGGTCCAGACGACAGCATGATGCGCTTTGGACGGAAGCGGATGATAACTGTCGAGCGAATAAAGGGGAGGAGGGGGCACGGTGGAATGGCATGATTGTTTTTGATTGATTAAAACGTCAAAGGGGCGGACAACCAACAAAAGTACGAAGCCAGGACAGAAGATAATCTGCGTGTTTTGACTGTTAAAAAAGCTCGGGTCTAACTGATTTTGGATGCCCGTAAGAATTTAAATATATGTTATAAAAAATATACACAAAAATATTCTTTATTGTATCCACTTGGCAGCAAATCACGTCTTAAATTTTATACTGGAAGAAAGTTTCTAACCATGGGATTTTTCAGGACGTAACGTATCTGTCTGTTTATAATGCGTCCATGTACAATGGAATGCTTTGTGCCCTATAAGGAGTATTTTTAATAGCATAGAGAAACGCATGATTTTCCTTGCACGATAAGTAAACTTTACGCAGTTTGGAAACAATGTGGTCAGCGAAAATGAAGGTCGAGTTCAAAATTAATTGAAAATTTGGAAAGTATTTAAAAAAAACCGGAAGAGACTTTTTTCAGGTATAGGATTAGAAGATATAATATTCCATTAAATGAGTACGAAAACGGATATTTTTATGTATGTTTCCTATGAAATATATTTAAATGTGTAAGGGCATTCAAAATCGTTGGGAAAGATTCATACTACGTAAGTGGTCATTTCGTCGAGGGCGGCTATGGGGGTCTTTAATGAGGGCGGTGGGGTGACCACATGAAGGTTTGCCAGCGTCTGCTATGTCAGCAAACCATGGCCCCCGCGGCGGCCCGGCATGTGCTGGCAGTTCTCTAACACCTGGTTCCCCGCCGGTGGATGGATTGGCGATCCCGCTGGACCATACAGGTCGTGAGCATGGCCGGCCAGTCATCTGACCTAACTGGACTAATAAGCCCCCACCAAATGGCCCCTCCGGTCTCCCTTGTCTTTGTCTACAGCGTTTGTTTTCCACACAGGAATGGCAAAACCTGCGAATTTCATCTGAACCTCCTACAAACAGTCGTTTAGGGGAGGAGTTATGCCAGACCCGTTGTGGTGTTGCTGCCATTGGCTAAGATCCTGGTCAAGTGTTTGCTTTAGACCAGAAAGTGTGGTGCTGCGGCCGGGTGCGGGTTCGGCCGCGCCAGCCACCTGAGCCCTCCCCCCCCGCCTCCGGTCTTCTTGACTATGTCTTGACACCGAGTTCAGGTGGGGAGGGGAGGAACGAGTGCGGTAGGTGCTGCGCAAGTCCACATTCACTGTAAATTAATTTACGCGCAAGTCACCGTGCCTACATCATCGGGCATGATGGCCGAACTGTCGGGGTGGCCATATCGAGATATGGTGTGTGACTTTCGACTCCTCCTCCTCCTCCCCCTCCTCCTCCCATACGTGTCGACAAAAGTAGTGGGGACGACAAGTAGACATAAAAGGGAAAGGATTAATTCCCATAGTGAGACATCGCGGAGGGGGCG